TGACTTGGCTGGCAGAGACGGTGGTGGCAGCCGCAGCGGCGAGGATGGGGAGGTACTTGGTCTGCATATTGATGGTTGTAGTAAGCGAGTGTATAGGATTAGATGCGAATGTAGAAGATGATGAGTGTTTTTTACTTGAACTCCAGAGAGGATCAAGGTCTACTTATAGTAAAGTCTCACGATGGGATGAGTTGGGATCGCCGTTGTCACAACATACCATTCAGACCTGCCTTGGGAGTCACCCGGCGGGCCTTGGGGAGATTTCTCGAGGCACAGCAAACAGCTAAAGCGACATGTACCCAATGATACCCAATAATATCCCATGTATTCCATCTTGGCAGACGAACAGAAGGGCCTTACCCCTGCATCTTGGCAGGGCAAGGCTGAGCCGAGGAGAGTGAAACGCAGGGTTTATTCCCCCATGAAATGAGTTCAACGTTGGCCGTGCTGCCTAATTGTTGGTGAAGGGTTCTCTCTCTGGATGACTCATTACACCTCATGCACCGTTTCCGTAGAAAACATCGTATAGATTTTCTTATGCATCCATTTCGAATCGATACACCGCTGTCACATCCATCGAAATAGAGCTATAATTAACTCTATTCCACCCCTTTACAGCGCGGTGGCTGCCTTGCAAGGCACAAAGGGCACAGCACAGCCAATCGCTTAGCGCGGGAAATATGCAACTCTATTCGTATCATTGCCCAATTTATCGGCCATTTCCCAAACCAGAAGGGGCTGAGTCTTTATCAATCCTTCATTAAGCATTGCATTTCGATCATCGGCACAGCCCATGAGATCTGCTTGGATGGGCGGAACGTTTATGACTTCATTCTTCAAGTCTGGGACGATCCAATTGCCTCCTCCAAGTTAACAAAGAAAGGTCTTGGCATAAGCTGGTCGGTGTAGAAGCCCGATCCTTCTGCAAGCACTTAACTATGGAGTATCCACTAAGTCACTACAGTATCTTATCTAGCCGCTGCAGTCCCACAATAGCACAACAAGACCACTCAAAAACATTAATACGAGATGATCACAACATCATTTGACAGACCTCAATGCCTCTTAGTTGTGCAATGGCCAACGAGGGAATCAAATCCTGGCCCTTCTGGGCTGTTAGATGTTTCAAAGGTCTGCCGAGGATCCCTAATGCTACCCTCATTTTGGAAATTAGCCTAGTGGAATGATAGTAACCAGTAACTAATGAACCTAGTAGCAATGCATTGTTGATGGATATACCTCTTCCCGAATAAGGAAAAGCAAATACAATCAGCTTAGGTGGCAATGGATAACTCTTCCACTAGACTAACTACGTAATTATGTTGGTCTGGTTTCTTTTAGATGAAGCAATAGAAGGCTATTGGTTTATTCTCTCTCGTATTTATAAAAGCTTCGATTTCTTTGTAATAAGATAGGAGATAGAAACAATGATAGGTATCTTTGCATGTATACCTTATGTGCTATACTAATTTAGGAGAACGTCTATGATTTGGTAAGATTATAATATGATAAATAATAAAGAACGTAGTCGTAGAATGAAATTCCCAGACGTGCTCGATTATAATTTATCAGACTACTGTCAGTAAGCCCTTCTCCCCTTCGCCCCGCCTCCACTGGCTTATTCTCTCTCTCCTTCAATATATTACTCTTCCTCAGCGTTAGCCAACCTTGTTAGCTGCTTTTTCAGTCACCTTTCGCCCATTGGTAAGAGAACAAGATGCTTGAAGAAACGCAAAGTAAGTTGTCATCTTTGTTAACTATGTGATATTATCAGGCCGCAGAATTCTCCATCTTCCAAGCAATGCCTGCTTGCTAATAATTGCAGTAGATTTACATATTTCTCTTCATCATTGCACCAACTATGTCGATGCTCAGGTATCTCATGAGGTAGCTTATCTTTAAACTGCTGGGGTATTTACAACTACGCCGACTTTTTGAAATCTGCAACACTGATATTTCATATCTAGTGATGGTATGTAAAAGCTTGTCATACGTTACCAAACAAGGTTTGATACCGTTACCTGATTGGGTTATCAATCTCGGCGCAGTTTCCGAGTCAACTTAACCAATCACAGTTCCTAATACTTTATTTCTGGTTGGAGATCGAGATCTGTCTACAGCAGATGTAAGAAAATCGTCATCTCCCAGACAAAGCAACGAGGGCGCAGTCAGCTTCACTGTATCTACGCGATCTGGTTGGATAAGGCTTCAGATGGAGGGTTCTAGACACCGGTTTTCTGCATATCCATTCAAGGAATGTAGACTCCCTCGCAATCACTCTTCTCAAACACCACCATCGGTCCTCTACTCACAACTATAATAAGCAGCTCTTTCAGTCTTCCTTGGGAGCTATCATCACTGTAGTCGTTCGTTCTAATATTTGCACTTCTTGGTCACCTGTCGTTTGCGACACTCCCGTATCATACAACTCATGCACTCCGCATCTCAGCAAAGAATCAAACAAACAACGTGATTATTCTGTGATGGTACCTACGACGGGAAGCCGGCGCATATGTCATGTACCAGCCGATATCCATCAATGAACACTCCCTTCAAATCATTGACCATTCACAGCGCCATTCAAGAATCCACAACAGACCAGGCCTGCCGTCATGTCGTGTAGGAACAGAAAGGTCACAGCACTGTACAGACGGGGACTTGCATCTTTTGGTCGACGAGATCAAAGAGTTGAAGATAAAGCTCAGGATGCATGCGGTTATAATTGAGGCTTTATCTGGTGGGGAGTGGGATGATGCGATTGCTCTTCTGCAGCACATCAGAGATGGTCAAAGTATTGATACGGTATATCATGCGGCTAGCCGGCAGAGAAACCGGAACCAAGCTTGATTTGAACAGACTTATTGTCAATGCCTTTGTCAGTAATGGGTTTGTGCCGGATGGATACATGTAACGAGGTTATATATATATCAGAACCATTGTCAAAGCAATGAGAACTTAAGCGCAGTAGTGTGACTTACCTTTCCCTCTTTATTCGATTATCAGTATGAAAGATAAAGTTCTTGATCAGATAGTGACACTTGCTCCGCACACCGTGGCGACCATTGCATGTTGTCGGGTCTATTCAAGAGATTCAAATTAACCAAGAGCTAGATTTATATAAATAGGTGGCCCCCCTGATCTCGTTACAATCTTCTCTAAACCACTCAAGCTTTTGCCAAGGAATTCATCCGATAAACTCTACTGGAACATACGAACAGCTATCCCTTCGCCAAGTGTCATCCATCGGCCATACACAACAAAGTCCATACCATTCCGCCAAGCTTACACGCCCTTTTGATGAAAAATGTGTACAGAGCTTTTCAGTCAATCCCCCTCGAAGATCGGCTCTGATTACGCTACGGTCCGTTTCTATGGAATCTGGCTAGTCGATCACTTGAGGCCTCCAATGCAGATTCCAGAAGTTGTTTCGTCACTTCTTGACAAACTTCAAACCAGGGAAATTGAAACCCCTCGATGTGTTAAGAAACGAACTCCGCACGAAAATGACATACACCGAATTTGGGAGGCCACGTCCTACAAAGACACCTGCGAGTACGTTAGTGCTCTCTTCTTCGACGATGATGATCATGGTGTACGTTTTCCAAGAAACAAGGCTATGCGTGCGCACTTGATGCGTGACTTGGTGGTAACTCACAACTTTTTACCGACTCCGACACCCAACATCATCTATGGATATTCGAAGAAGTCTCTTTGCCAACCCAACGCACCAAAACTTCCCATTTGGTTAGACGAGGAAGCGAAAGCCGATACTGGCCTGTACTATCCCTTCCTCGTGATCAATATGCAAGGGCATGAAACTAACTCCAACCGCGACTCCCACAAGGCAATAAACGACTGCATGGTAGCGTCTTCGATCTGCGTAGAAATGATAGACAAGCTCATTGAGCGTCTGTTCGAGCACACAACGACAATGTGCCCAAAAGATTGAACGATGTGGTTTTCGGTATCGTTGCCAACGGGGGAGTTGCTCGTGTCTATGTAACGTATGCGTGGTGTAAAGGTACAGAACACACCTTGAAAGTGGCTAGCTTCTTGCTGGAAGATCCAGAGCACCACCTGAAGTTTTATAAACTTGTGCGAAGTATTATCGCATGGGGGAATGGAGAAAGATTTGAAGGGATTCTCAGTGCTTTGAGGGTTATTCGACTGGGAGGTCCTCGATGGCATCGGTACCCAGCATACGGCGAGGATACATCTTGAAGACGTTGGTGGCCAGGAACTCCAACAGGAAGCGTGTAGCTTGTATGTTTTCTCATATTTCCATAGTCTGATCTTAGTCGCATACCCCAGCAGTCCGGTATAGATGAATTTGCAGACGAAATTTTACGGATCTACCTATCTGTCTTCTCCGGCTTTTCATATTTGAAATTACCGACAGTACCAAGATGGCCCTCTTATGATGCGAAACATTTTTATGCCCAACAGAATTACAATGCCCTTATCGGAGAATAGACATGGGCCGTTTCCCTTTTTTTTTCTTTTTCTCAATATTGAGTAAAGCTCCTTTTACACGACTGCCTAGCTAAGCTGCCCAAATCTTGGGCTCGTTAAGAATGAATTTCAGCCCGTTAGCGCCCAAACAAGAGTTAGCAATACCATCCTCAATGAGAATTTTTCTAAGTAAGACTCTACTTGATGACTAGATATTTATACCGTCTCCACAACCACAATAGATATTATCATCGGTATCGCTCTTAATGCCATTAAGTGCCTCTAACGTAAGGAGAATTTGCAGATTTGGCTCCTCCAGGGTAGTAACGATACGGGCTCGATTCTCGACCCCATGTGTGAAAGATTTGTTGGCAACGATGCCAGCAAGATCTGTCCCTACATTAAGACAAAGGTGATGAAGTCGACGACAGCAAAGTAGTAGTAGCACGTAAGTTGCAGCATTACTGCACATGTGACTGATCGACCTTTAGAATTCTGTAGGTGTCTTATTTGTCAATTATGAGAAAAAAAGATTAATACTTAACTAAGCCAAGATGGCCGAGTGGTTTAAGGCGCTGCATTTAAGATTTATCTTCATCTGCAGTATCGAAAGATGCTTGGGTTCGAACCCCAATCTTGGCAATTTGATTTTCTTTTTCTTTCTCAAGTACTCATGTTTTTACATAACTCCATGTTTCAACGATAGCCTAGTTAGTTCGAGGGCTCGTATTTGTAAGATTGAACAACAGTCACCAGAGGCGTGTAGCTCTCACCGTCGTGAAGCGCATTATCACCTTTTACATTTTTCGCCTAGATCATCAATCAGGACCTACAAGCAGATTATCCTGACCTTTTTCTTTTCTTCAGTTGCACATGGCATCTTTAGAGATTAATGTTGTTAATGGTCAGCATGGCTAACAGTAAATGCGGGCTAGCATTACGTTGTTTACATAAATCAGATATACATATTTAGGGACGAGACATAAAAGACTACGACTCACTCATGCCGAAACTCATATGTCTCGGTCCAAGACTCCAAGTTGGGTTGAAGCAACTTAGTGCTTATCCTGCTTATTGTCATGAGTTCGTTGCGGAGACCGAGTATAGACCGTCGGGGTAAATCATGCATGTCCTCAAATATTAATAAGCCTTGGTTCCATGTTACAAGTATGTAAGCTGACCCCAGTTTCAACATCTTTGCGAGCTTTAAGGTATAACGCATTACCAGTTTCCAACCTATACCCCGAGATCCTAACAACAGACTATTTCTCAAAATGGCATCTTCCCAGAGCAAAGATCTTCCCTCCTCCAAATACTTCTCTGCGTTCGCCGCAAACTACGTCCAACAAACTGGAAGAAGCACTCGTCGTGTCTTTGAGTCGTCTTTTGATGAGATTCAAGCAACTAGCCCGATAAAGAAGGAGTCTGTGGTTCACGACAATGCCGCTGGGCCTGGAATAGCCGCTTCGGTCATCATCGACAAGCTCTCGTCTGAAGAACTACCCAAGATCCTGGTGACGGACAACGTACCTCCCATGATCCAGGCTGCCAAAGACTCGTTTTCTTCTTGGCCACAGATCGAAGCAAAGGTTCTGGACTCGCTCAAGCTGGAGGGAATCCCTGATGACCACTTCACCCACAGCATTCTCAACCTCAGCATTTTCACTCTTGCTGATCCGGCCAAGGGCATCACTGAGATCTACCGTACGCTTAAACCTGATGGCCTTGCTGTTATTTCATGTTGGAAGCGCTTCGGTGTCGGGCAGCTCATCCATGCTGCACAAGCCATCGTCCGACCAGACCTTCCACCTCTGAAGCTGCCGCATCCCGAGTTTTTCGAAGAAGGTGTTTTAGAGAAGACAGTGGCCGAGGGCGGGTTTGACTCGTCTAAGTTCAAGCTCTTGGAGAAGACAGTTGTTGTTAGTGGTTCTGAGCTTGATGAGGGGCTGAAGTTGTTTATGCTCGGGGATTTGATGCGTCCTGCTCGTGCTGGGTTTACGGAGGAGGAGGAGAAGAAATGGCCGGAGGCTGTGGATGAGGTGCTCAGGAAGGAGGTTGAAGCTTATGGAGGAGTTAAGTTCCAGAGCTGGGTTCTCCTTGTTCAGAAGTAGTATGGCCAGTAGAGATAGAGGAGATGGCTGAAGAAGTATATGGCCAAGAACTACGGCATCAAGTCTCAAATTCTTAGTAGTTGAAGAACCACACTTTTACTCCCAGTTTCAGATGGATTATTGTAGCGTTTACACAGCACATGGCTCATACCCGTACATTTGGAGTCAACAATAACCACTATCGCCAGGTGCTCTGATTCAGGCCATCACATACACTTGGGGCTCCTGGTGCACAGACTAAATTATTTCATGTTCTCCAATGTTCAAAGTTGAGTAACCACCGTGTAGATCTAATTCAAAACCTAGCTGATATGAAAGGATCGAGAATTGTCCATTGGGACTCAAACAATGCCAACTATTGAATCGCCCTGGGTCTTGACCAACATAGAAGCTGTTTCAGGGACAGATCGAAAGACGGTCCGCGCTGCTTACGAAGCAATTACCTTAAATCTTCTTGACAGCGCTGTTCCAAAGACTATCGCTGTTCGCAGGCGAAGTTCCGTGGGCAAATGCGCGGTTATACAACTGGCAAGTGGTCTTGAAGGTGCCGTGTAGAACGTAGGTGCACCAAGACCTGGCGTTGCACAGCTTGACACAGGCCTCCATAGTGTCTGCCTGAAGTGTTTCCTTGGGACCAGCAGCGTCGGGGTCTATAGTATGTTAGATATTTCATTAAACAGTATGGCTCGGACCGGGTGGTATTGTACTTACACCGAGTGCACCAAAACTTGTATTCGGTTCCAGCGACAATTCCGTACTTGCTGTGCTGAGTAGGGCCTGGGATCGCATCAGGTCAATTTGATTACTCGGTTGAAAAGAAAAAAGAGGGGGAAAAGGAATCCATCACTCACAGTTCGACGCCAGTATATCCTTGAGACGATCCGAGTCAGCCTTTCCAGCGGATGACTGTGCCTGGCTAGCAGCGAGATCAGCTTTCAAAAGGCGCTCTCGCTCAAGACAGGCATCCTTCTCTTCCTCGCAATCCAGGGCAAAAGGGTCATCCCCGTCATCTACGAAAGGGTCGTCCTCAACCTTGACCATGCAAATAGCCCCAGGGTAGGCTCTCTCGGCCCCATTCTCACTCGCGACAACACATCGCTTGGTGGGAGCGTGGTAGGTAGAGGCAGTGGCGCCGGCGTCTCTAGCAAGCGCGGCGCACTCAATTGCAGAGTTGATGTTCCTGTGGGTGTCTCCAACACGGAGCATGTCGCACTTGTACTGGACGGTGTAGTCGGGGCTGATCTCCTCACGAGCACCCTCGACGCACTGAGCGTAGACTTGAGTGGTACCCAGGAGGGCGATCAGAATGGAAGCAGTTGAGGCCTTCATATTGAGAGGTAGGGGATAGAGATGGAGAGAGAGAGAGAGAGAGAGAGAGAGAGAGAGAGAGAGAGAGAGAGAGAGAGAGAGAGAGAGAGAGAGAGAGAGAGAGAGAGAGAGAGAGAGAGAGAGAGAGAGTCTCGGAAAGTGATGTATGGAAAAGAGAAGATAGTGGTGGTGGATGAGTGTTGACTGGTGACTTGTTGATGAGAATAATCAAGTTCGTGGGCCAAGGCATGACTTATCTACTTTTCTGAAGTTCTCTATAGCTCTTCTCCAAACGAAGTCTTGTTTGCTTCACCCTGCCGACTCCAGCCATCTCAACGCATCATTCATTTGACCCTGGAGGCTAAGTCTCATGAGAAACCTTGGCCGACATGATTAGTGACAACTTCAGTCCCCCGTTTAAAGACACCGTCGGCCAATAGTTATTTTGATCAAGGATTCTGCTTCCAAGATCTACGTCAACATTCTCAAAAGTCCATTCCATGATCTAGATCAATCAATAACAATCCCTGACGTCGATCCTTCGTCAAGCTAGACACTTCTTCTGGGGTTATCAGGGGGCTGCAGAGGTGTTGATGAAGATTTCAGTGGCTGGACACTTACGAACCGCACTGGAGAATGTCTCAACTATTGACTGAAACCCCCCTTGCTGTCTTCCTTGTATAGACCTGGATGAGTTTCCGAAAACCTGTATGGGAGGACTTGATGCAGCGCCACTGTCGTGCAAATCCCCACAGCGATAGGACGTCATGTTATCAACTTGCAATGTCCGGTCATACCCCTTGCTTTTCGGTGGATTGGGAGAGATACAGCTGTATCTCAGTCGAACTCAGTCCAATTTCAGCAAAAGCGGACCAGGTGTTGTCGAGGATACGACAGGCGTGACTCCCAGTATCTCAACATGAAAAGGCTGTAACAACTGGTGTTAGTCTTCGGGATCTAACTAACTGATTACTAGATACCCACCTAGGTGGTTGAACTGAACCACGTCCCGTGTCTCCACTCGATCTGAGACAGCCCTGGCCGCTGACATAGAAACGGAATGAGTTTTGCTTCTATATCCCTTGCCTCTCGCGTCCGATACCTCTGGTTGGCTGCAACATACAGAGCAAAGTTAGAACTATCAGCTGACAGATCAATCCCGAGTGGGCAATCGTAGTTGTGGCGATCCGTCCCGAACCGCCAGCAAGTCATAGGCTGAAAATCACCCGTCGCATTCCAGGAAAACCCTATACTGCCTCCTTACGCGCCGAATGTCTCAGCTCAACACGAGAATAGATACGACCCCCCTCCACCCAGTGAGATAGCGCAGAGGAGATGTATCTATGCTCGTTTACCAACATATCTAGTCAAACATACTAACCTCCAGACATATAAACCGATACACGGAAAACCAGCACCTTCACAGGCATGTCTCAGTACAGCTGTAATATATCGTCGGTCTATTGCCATTTTGAGATAAATCAACCCGACGTAGTCATGGACAGTCTCTAAAAGCGGCTTGACGCGTCAACGCCGAGCCCAAGGAATTGCGGCGGTCAGTTCATGACAGGGCCAATCCATGTATATGCTGTACCAAGCAAGTGTGAATGTGGTCTCATCTTCCTGAAAAAGAATATCTCTATAACCGGAAAATCGAACCCGGACGTGACTTTGCATATTTTTCGTCATACATTACGAAATATGCAAGCCATCTTCTGGATAATGATGTGATGCCACTATGTTATTCAGATATAATGAGTATTCTTGCTACTGAAGTACATGTGGCAGTATCATCACGTTAATCCCAAGTTTCTAACACTCATTTATCAGCCTTGACCCTTGATGGGTAAGGCCGACAAGTTTCGGGGATTTTGATTGTAATAAAGCCAGAAAGGGATAGCACTAGTTCACTAGTAGGATCAGCCGAGCTACGCAAACTTGTAACTTACTCATCCGTCCGGCTGGAGAGTTTCGTATGCTGCCCTGAATACCAACACAAGTGCTCCAAGGTGGCAGACCTTTTGGTCGTGATGTACTTCGTTTTTTCGAGAAACAAGGTCATATTCACAATGAAAGCACTTCCACTAAATATTGACATTACCAAAGGATGTTGACATACCTAAAGCTCCCATTAACAGAAAAGTAAGAGTTGACTCCTAGAAACCAAAATCTAAACTTAAATATGCGGTTCTAGAACTTGCTTAGTGTGGTCCACAATCTTCT